GCTTGTTTATTGAAAATGAAGGACAACCACCTAGGAGTGCATTACAATAGTCCAGTCTAGAGGTCATGAATGCATGAACTAGCTTTTCTGCATCAGAAACAGGTAACATGTTTCGTAACTTGGCAATGTTTCTAAGATGGAAGAATGCTGTTTTTGTAACATGGGAAATATGATTTTCAAAAGACAAGTTGCTGTCTAATATAACACCCAGATTTTTGACTAACAGTACATTCTTTGAATCAGTGGTTCAAAGCATGGAAGTTCACCAATCTGGCAAAATAATCCGATTTCAGCAATCAAGGCTTCCCAAATGGCAAGGCCCCATTCCAAACGGCACATCAAGCCCTCACAGTCCACACTTTAGTGAAGTGATGCTGCTTTGACTGTTGGGTAGAAGCTGCTCAGCCTGGAAACATGTGCATCAAACAACCACAAAGGGGCAGTACGAGCACCCTTTAAAATTACAAATGTATATACCATTGACCATGAGCACCACATTCATGAACATGCACACTATGTAGGGAACCTTTCTTTCCTTGTGATCAAATGACTTATGCATTGCGCTGTTGTCTGGGCACCAGTCCACACAGACACAGATGTTGATTATGGACTGTGCTGCTGCTCAAAATTACAATTACCACACAATCCTGCGTTTGTGAGGTGAAGCAGGATGTGGACAAGTACACTTGGTGTACACTTTTACAAAGGCCGATGAATACACGTACATGTGAAGTCCACAAGAACGCAGGGTGCCACATTTGTTTAAAAAATTTGATGGTTCGTTAATAGAGGACATTGATTTAATGACCCCATGAAACAGTGCAAAACTGATTCTCCTGCTCTATAACTCTATATTAAAACACATTTAGTGGCATGTGCTAATGTTGTCCTGTCTGTCTCCCTGCCTTGTCCTCGAGACACTATCCTGAGGGACGGGTCCAGCATCAGTCCAGTCTGCTGTTCCACTCACCAGCATGTGTTTCTAATCTGAGCTTGTGCTGATGAACGTCGAGGTGCTTCAGATGAAGACAGCGACACACTGACTTCAGATGGACTGCACAGAAAATAAACTATTATTGACATTTACCAAATTCAAAAACACTCTGCATCTATTAATCCAGGATATACCTCATAGACCAATAATAATTAATCTTACAGTTCAGTAAAATAGTAGTACAGACAAGTACCATTGTTGATGTTTTATAGCCAGAGAGGAACTGGCCTGCTGTACCCCAAGGTTTTTCCCTCCACTATTTACCATACTGGAAATTTTGAAGACATTACTGACACTAAGCAATGACTCTCTGTTACAATATGATGTTCTGTAAAGCTGATTTGAAACACTGTGTGTTGTATATAAATAAATATGACTCTATGAGAGGGAAGGGTGATGGAATGGGGTTTAAGGCCTGTTCACACCAAGACCAATTATCAGATTTTTAATGAAGAAGTGTTCCAATCTCTTCTCCAATCACACTGCAATAGAAAACTGGCCAACCAAAAAAATTCATGCTTTTGATCACCAGAGTAACCAGGCTACTTCTCCTTTTCTATAAGCGCCACCTACTGTCAGAGATTGAATTGGCATTTTCAATTAACCCCTCTGCCGTTTTTACACATTCATCTGAACAGATTGCAAAAATCAAAATTTCATGCCAAACATTTGTGTTGGTGTGAACAGGCCTTTATAATCAGAGTCTACGATGAGAGCAATGAATCATCTTTACACAGGTGTTCAGATTTCATCTTATTTCGTCACAGACAAACCTCGCTTTTGTGAGACGAGACATCTAGCCTTATTTTACGTTCAACCACAGATATTAATTTAGATCCTAATCGATGTATTTTGTTACAACACAACAAAGTTTGAAAGAATGGTCATGTGTTCAGTGATTAGGACGGATGAGCGCTTACTCTGCAGATAAAGATGCAATGACAAAATGTTTTAGACCCTGTTCACATCTGTATTTAATGCTGTCCACTGATCCGATCACAGAAACATCTAATTACCAGGTGGAAAATTAAGTCTATTTGTCAAATTTATTTGTATAGCGCAGGGGTGTCAAACTCCGGTCCTGGAGAGCTGCGGCTCTAACCCTAATTAAAACTCACCTGCCTGTAGCTTCCTAGTAACCCTTCAGACCTTGATTAGCTTGTTCAGGTGTGTTTGATTAGGGTTGAAGCAAAACTCTGCAGGGCTGCGGCTCTCCAGGACCGACGTTCGCCACCCCTGGTATAGCACTTTACATAAAGTCATGCTGTTATTTCTATAATGCCTTAATACTTAATGTTAAGCAGTTTTCAATCTGAGATGTTTAATCAGGGAGCTGCTAGAAACGCCACAATGCTTTAACCCTCCAGTGAGCAGCCAGAGAACGAAACGCTTCATTCGGCCTGTTCTCCTCTGGCTAAACAACATAAGGTCAAAATGAACATTAACAAACAAGTGTCTGAGGCTTGTCTCTTGATTTACTGATGCGGCTGATATAGATTATGCTCAGGTTAGACATGGCAGCAGTTCAGTCTTCATGAGCTCAAATGTGGAAGGCCGCAGTATGACAGTCGATAATAGTTGGTTTACGATGGTCACATGGCACAGATGCGAATTCGTCAGACAGCAGCACAGAATGGTGGGATCGGGACCTGAGACCCTCAGGATATAATGGCAGATGAGAAGGAATAACATTAGCACTTCATGCATACAGTATGAAAAGTGTTTCTGTCAGACCGGACTATGGCTGAGGAATGAACTGTTTATGCATGTCTTAAAAGTGAGAGAATCCCGAACAGCCCTAGAAAGTCTATTCCAAAGTTTAGTTCGTAGTTTAGCAATGTTTCTGAGGTGAAAGAAGGCATTGGTAATGTGACTATTGAAAGACAGTCTGCTATCAAACATAATACATAACATAAATCAGTAGAAATACAGAAAAATCACACCCCAGAAGACGGTGTGGATGCGAGACAGATATCGTGATATTTTAATTCTCTTTAGTAGCTTCAGATCAAGCAAAACACTTGCGTTCCGACGAGGTTTACAGACACGACACCGATCCAACAAACCGAACCTTTTATTAGGAGGTTCTGATTTCAGTATAAATCACACTACACATTTCCTTTAGAAAAATCGTTATGTACACTACAGTGCTGACGAATCAAACAGAACCAAAGAAACCCTTGATATAAATAAGCTCTATGGAAAAGCCTGTAGTCTTTAAAAGAATTCTGTCATCTTACAAAAAATATATATGTTCATGTCAGCTCTAATACGACTAAAGCCTACAACTGAAAATATATTATTCAAGGACCTGTTTGGATTTGAAGAATTTTCTCAGTGCAGCCGAGCCGAAGTGCTTGGATATTTCACAGTTACGGACAGGCACTGAGGAGCGAGTTACGAGCTACATTTGCCATGATGACGACCAGAAACAGGAGAGAGACAGAGAGAGATGTTGATCCTGTCTTACAGAAGTCATGGATTCTCTGCTCTTGTCAGATTGATTACGAAGAAAGGAAATCCAGTAGACAGTAGAAATAAACGTGATTAAATGAAGCGCCGTTTGGTTACTTCCAGGAGGAGGTTTGGGCGGTCTGTCAGCGAGTAGCTCCGCCCGCTCCATCTTTATTTGCATTACGCACGGCGACTCTTGCGCAGGTCTGCAGTCTGTGTTTGCAGCTCTGCCGTTCTCGCCAGCTGACTCCTGCTTGGTGTGCTGCTTCAGCTCCTCGCCTTCCTCACGAGCCTCCTCTTCCTCGGGCTGCTGATTATACTGCTTCAAACGCACGTGCCAGGCGAGGCTGCACACGGCCGACACGCTCTTGAACTGGTGAACTACGTTGCGAGGGATAAAGTAGATGTCGTTATCGTAGAGCTGGATACGAGCGTAGCGGATTCCCTCTCGCCTCAGCTGATTGAGTTTAGCATCATCCACCCACTGCACACACTGGACAGAGAGAGAGAGAATGAGCAGAACACACCCATTAAACTTCACATCAAACTTGTCTACTTTTTGACATTCGAGTGACATTTCAACTGTTATGAGGTCACATGTAGCACACTTTAATCCAAAGCAACATTCAGAATAAAATCAAAATAAACTGTAAATTATTTGTGGTAAAATAAACACCATGAACATGCAGAGCTCTGTTCAAATACCCCTAATTTATCCTTCTGTGTGCGTAAGGAACGTGACTCATGCCCAACACTGTGATGATCGACACAGTGGTAACCATAGCAACATTCTGGCATCTCTGATATCTGCTATTTTGGACTAAAGTGATATTACAAATACTTATGTTAGTCAATTTGAACTAACCCACCGTGAACAGAGGTGTGGTGTTTTGTTTCAGCTTGGATGGCTGGTTCGCACTGAAATCTCTTGCAGGTTGCCATGTCTTTGAGTCGTTTGGGATTGGCTCATGAGTGGCACTTTATGGAGTTATTAAAGTGGGCAGGTGTGGGTCACAATATTTTCTTCTTATTTCCAATATAAAGCATTTGAATCCATTTAGGTTTATTTGTGACCTGTGCTGCCAAAATGAGTCACAATGAGCAAATTTTCAAAAATGATTTATTTTTATGTTCACATTCTCCATTAAAAGACTTTCAGAATGATGTATGATTTGTTGAAATCAGCGTTAATTTCGTCAACAAAGATGATGATGAAAAATATTCGTTAACGAACATTCTTTCTGTGACTAAGACGAGACGTTGACGAGCTAAAACTAATCTGAAACAATGGCCTCAGCACCCGAAGGGGTAGGGATAATGTGACCAGACGTCCCGTTTTTCCCGGGAGTCACAATTCGTTGTCGATTAACTTAAAGTTAGTGAAGGCGAGATAGGCCGAATAGCGCTGATAGAAGTGCTCTCCTACTTCTTCAGTTCTCATATACAGCGCGCGATCAGTTCTCAGCTCAAATACACACACAGCAGTCCAAATGTCTATCGTGTAGAGCAGGGGTTCTCAAAGTCTACATTCAAAGGTCCAAATCTGAATTTTCATCAGTGTCAAAGGTCCGGACCGGAACAATTGGTTATTACAAAACTTGTTTTTAATAAACATACATAACATGCATAACAAATAAACATTATTTAAAATAAAAAAATTAAGTGCAAAAGTGGCAAAACAATTAATTTAAGTGTCAGCAATAGAGGTCGACCGATAAGGGTTTTTCTCTGGCCGATGCCGATATTTAGAAATCAGGGCAGCCGATGGCCGATATATGATGCTGATTTTTTTTGGCCAATATGTTTGGCCGATTTTTTTTTTCCTTCTTTATCTCATAAAAGCGAGTTTGAGTAAATGATTATTGCAGGGCACAAGATGGTAATAGTAGTAGTAGTAGCCTAATTCATAGTAATAATACATGGCTCAAAGCACCTTCTCAAAACAGTTCTGAAGCATGCTTTTTGTTTATGTTTGCTGACGGACACAGTGTTTCCCTCAGACTTGCAAATGCAAATTCATTCTCTGCCAGCAGGAGGCGCTGTTGGAGCGGCGATATAGCGGTTTCCCCGGTAACGGCTGTAATCAAATACAAAACGCTAGGAAAGACTAAATGAAAATGACATCAAAGCTTTTCCGATGACGGTCGGTTCTTTTCAATTATACATTCATATAAAAACACCAGTGCTGCACTTTAATTTTGAAACATGCAGTGCTCAGTTTATTCAAGGAAGTAGTTAGAATCTTTTTGGAAAATCTATTTGTGGCGGTCAGTTTTGATTTTGTGACGGGCCGCCACAAATAACTCAATGTATGGGAAACACTGGACACTGCTATAAGTCAAATGGCCATAATCTAAGTGATAACAAAAATAAATAAATAAAAAAGTACTCATATTAGCGGTGAAATGTCGTCCGATTATGTCAAACGTCATACGCTCACTGGTTGTCATGACAACAAACGTCATGAAGGAAAAGTTTCAATATCTCGCCTTCGCTTTCATTTCGGACCATCTCCAAAAAGACATTAAAAAACTAAACATATGATTTACAAGTTTAACATGCGTTTATCAAAGTAGGAAATAATTCGTGTTTTTGAAATATGAAATTGGGGCGGGTCCGGACTGAATTCCCTCCAGAGTCCGGACTTTGAGAAACACTGGTGTAGAGTATCTCACATAAATACAGTCGGTTATGGATTAAGTGAACGTAAACAGGTGGGTGAAAACTGAACGTGTGTCAGTATTACATGCATGTCTTCCGGGATTAAGTGAACGTAAACAGGTGGGTGAAAACTGAACGTGTGTCAGTATTACATGCATGCCTTCCGTCTTAAAGGGACAGCAGAGTTAATTAAGTACCTATCCGTGTCATTAATTTATGCTAACCAACAAAATAAGATAAATATGTTAAGTAAACCTACTGTATCTGAAAAATGAATTTAATTTGTATCTCTTTTGTATTTGTCTTACTGTCTTATTCTGCTTTTTCAAAAATTATAAATGATATATATTATATATGTTATATTTGAACAACTATAATTTTTATAAGTTGCTCCCTTTTCACTACTGTTAAAGGGTTAGTTCACCCAAAAATTAAAATTGTCATCATTTATGTTGTCATCAGTTTTTCCAAATTCAATCCTTGATTCAAATTTCTCATAAGCTTAACTGATTTGGTCTAAAGAGAGAAGAATTAATGACTATTTTTGTTTGAAGACTACATATAAAATAGCTACCAAAATAAATGTTGGTAACTGCAGTTTGACTAAAAGTAATGACTAAAAGTTGACAAAAATGCAATTACTTTTCGTCGACTAAAACTAGACTAAAACTATGAAAGACTCAAATGACTAAAATGTGACTAAGACTATTAAGCATTTTCGTCTCAAGATAAAGACTAAGACTAAATCAAAAATGCCTGTCAAAATTAACACTGCACCAATGTCCACTGATCTTGAAGCTGGAGATGGAAACCCAAGTGAGCGGCCATTCCTAGTGCTTCCTAGCGAGAGCTGTAGCACTACACTTGTTGGGCCAAGTCGAGTAGATGAATCACTGTCACAGCACACGACTATTAAATCAAATACTCCACCTCTCTATACTTCTCAGCAGGTGTTCGATCCACCCGAAATTCAGAAGCTCATCGTTGAGCATGTCGTGAGGAGTGGTGAAGTGGCTGCTCAAGGGCCTGTACAATCACGGCTCAAGATAACTGGCGCTCCAGTGTTGAGCTTATCTTGAAGGACCCTGGCTTATCCGATTTGCATGTGTCCAGAAAGATAGTGGACAGTCTTTTGCCACCCGCAGCAGATGTTATAAAGCATCTAAGCCCTGAAGCTCCATCCTCAGCTTACCTTCAGTTGCTGGATTCGGCTTTTGGTGTTGTTGAGGACGGCGATGAACTCCTCGCATGATTTATGAATACTCTACAAGATGCTGGTGAGAAACCATCCGCTTACCTTTAAAGATTGCAGACAGCTTTGAGGATGACTATCAAAAGAGGTGGCATTTCTCCAGAAGAGGCAGACCGACTTCTTCTCAAGCAGTTTTGTAGGGGCTGCTGGGATAATGATTTGATTACTGAACTGCAGCTCGAGCAAAAGCGCAACTGTCCTCCTTCCTTTGCACAGCTTCTGTTAATGCTACGTACGGAAGAAGACAAACATACAGCGAAAGTCAATCGTATGAAGCAACATCTTGGGTCTTCTAAGCAGAGAGCTCTGATGCATTCTCAAAGAACGTGGATCTCTGCTGAATTGGAGCAAAAAGAAGCTTCAAACATAGTTTCACTTGCAACTGAAACGCAGGAGCTCAAGAAACAGATAGCTAAGCTCCAAAGTCAACTAGCCAATCTTACGACCAAACCTAAGATCCAGAAGAAATCCCCACTGCCAGAAGTAGTACACAAACAGGACAAGGCGGCGGCGGGAACGGCTGGTACTGAGAGTGTGACTCCAGTTAATAAAAATGAACAGGCAGACCAAGACCATGGTATTGTTTTACCTGTGGTGAGGACGGCCACGTTGCATCTTCCTGCACTTCTGAGCCTAACCCTGCACTTGTGACCACAAAGCGAAAACTCCTAAGGGAAAAGCAGCTTCTGTGGGACTCTCAGAACCCCAGCCTCAACCCTGATTTAAACTAAAGTCAGCCCTTGTTGTGGAACAGACGAGGGCTGAGTTAGAATCTAACCGTCCCACTGTAAAACGAGTCTCAAACAAATGTAAATTTTCGAGAAAGTCAAGCTCTAGTCTGCCAAAGGGGTTAGTTGGTGCAAGATGCATTCCAGAAATCAGCATAGCAGGTGCAAAATGTCATTGTTTATTGGACACTGGGTCACAAGTTACAACAGTACCCAAGTCCTTTTATGAGCAGCATCTCTCAGCGTACC